ATGTGTAGAAGATCACAAGTTAGAATGTCAATCGATTTCTAAGATTGAGATTTACAAGTGCATTTCTCGAAAACGCTGCCTAAATAAAAGTGGAAAATTATTCACGCAGAGAAAAGACTACGCTTTAAAAGTACAGTTCATAAGATAATAAGATGTTAGCATCTTAATAGCAAATAAGCGGCCGCTGTGGTGTAGTGGTTAAAAGTGCGTGGTACTACACCGCAGGGCCTAGGTTCAAGTCCGGTTTCCGACCAACATCAAAAAATAGCCTCTCGGCAGATTATAGCAAACCTCCGAGTATATTTCTGCCATGTAAAACATCTTCTTACAAAAATACAATCGCTGTCGGAGCTGTAATTCCCTCCTCTTTGTGTGACAACATCAAGGTGCATGCCACAAATCGGAGAAGCAGGTCGGCCAAACACTAACATATGTGTAAGCGCCAATCTATTATTATTATTAATAAGCAAATCTATTTAGAGGCCTCTACCCCCCACTAACCTTGGTAAACTTTAAAGCACAGTTTGGGACTTTTAGTTGTATTGCTATTACTAACTTCCTATGAATTCTAGGCTTAAAGATTTGACGAATCCGGCGTATCTTCAATATCAGAACGGAGAGATAATGTGGAAACTCTCTAAACAGCTATCATATTAGTTTCTAAACTCTGGTTAGCAGTGTAATTTTAGTTCATAATATTGTGTACCAGAAAAGGGTTTTGAAGTACTGTTGTTTAGATATACTACCTAATGAAATGGCTAATTGAAGCTATCCCTTTCGAACTATTGTGTACAAATAGGATTTCCTTCACAATATATGAATCGCCAGGTCTCAGATTTTCTAAGCAATATAAAGTAAATCATTGCAACAAATATTATAGATGTTCATAAATAGTAATAAGGAGGTTGCTACATATACCAATATGATATACGCGTCTATACATATATCAAATAATCGTACACAAAGATGTTAGATATCCATACCTGAACTTAAAGTGAAAATAAGGAGTTAAGTAAAAAATGCAATAAACTTACATACCATAGAAATGTACTGCATAGTATACTTTATTTGTAATTCAGATTTTAATTAAAGGTATTATAAATGTATACATACATATTACTATTACATACAATATAAATTGTAACACACATATTTAATGATCGTTATAGTATAAAATGGTTTTATCTTTTACTTGTTTGAAATATTTTGTTTTTGTTTAATTTTGCAACGTCTAAGAGCAATGTTTTTTTTTGTTATTGCAAGTTTTAATCCAAAGGGAAAATACACACTCAGCTGTTCTTGAAATTAAGCGTCAAAATATCTTTTTTTACTTAATTTTCGTTCGTCATGGATGTTAAAGAAATNGTTATTGCAAGTTTTAATCCAAAGGGAAAATACACACTCAGCTGTTCTTGAAATTAAGCGTAAAAATATCTTTTTTTACTTAATTTTCGTTCGTCATGGATGTTAAAGAAATTGTTCACCTTTCTTGTTCTACGTAAAAAGTAAAAAACAAAGCAAAATTAAATAAAACAAAATCCTTCATTTTTCTTTCTGCAAAAGAAAGTATAACAAACAGCAATTGCAATTGCCATTAACTTAGAATTGCATGCTAGTTTTAAAGCGCTCTTCCAGCTGTGCTGATAATTTATATAAAGTTTTCTTTTTAATCAAAGTCTGTAATTGAATGTTGGTGAGTTTCCTATTGCAGCCTGAATTTTTGATCCGTGTTGCGCTGGAAATCTTCAAATTATTTTTGTGTTTTCTTTGCATCGTATTGTTTGATGTTTCATTATCTTTTACGTTTTATGCCAAAATGTAAACACGCTGCTATGTGTATGTGCTACTAATTATCCGATATTAAGTATCATCATCTAATAAGTGATCTACATTATTGTTGTACACTACATATGAATGAGTACATACCAGAATATGGATTATTTTAGTTATTAGTATATAAATATTCAGGTTCATATATTGAAATTATGAATATCAAAATTCATCCTTAATGAAGTGCGTTTATACGTTTTATTCTTTTGGATTGCTCTATGTAATGTACGTAGTGCAGTTTATGTAAATCGTAAATCTTTCTTTCATGGGGTTGGATTAGGTTGGTCTGTATTTCTTAAATTGTTTCTCTTAAAATAATTCTGGTTATTTATGTAGTAGTACTTTAATGTTATGTATAAGCATACATCTTAAATGCCTATATGGGAAATAAAGAAAGATATATTGTATAAAATATAGTAGATATTTTTGATATTTATATGCATATGTTTTAAGTTTTTAAAGGTCAAGGTTTACAAGACATACAAAACAAAAAATCTAAATAGAAATTAGCGAAACAATCAACAGAGACGTTGTTTATAATATTAAAAAACAATGTTAATTCTGCTAAATAAAAATATTCATACAGTTATGTCTGATGGCATTTGTATCACTATTTTCAACTACCCATGTTAAACGTTCGGGATTAATTGTCAATTTCTAACCTAACATAATCCACTACAAAATTTCGGACTGCAAAAATACTTGGAGAACGAATTTTCAGCTTTCACGCTTAAACTTTTTGAGGAAATTCTTGATGACATTTGAGAAGAATTCAAAGCCCGATGCAAAAGTTCTGCAAACATTTCCATAGTTTGCTATCTTAAAAGTTATGCCGAAGTCACGGAAATTTAGAAACATCAAGTATNCTGAGGAAATTCTTGATGACATTTGAGAAGAATTCAAAGCCCGATGCAAAAGTTCTGCAAACATTTCCATAGTTTACTATCTTAAAAGTTATGCCGAAGTCACGGAAATTTAGAAACATCAAGTATCACAGCACCTTCAGGGCACTGGCGACTCGAAAAATAAAATTAATCTTGCAGTTAAACAACTATAAACTTTTCTCTTCGGGCAAATTAATAGTAGCTTGTTGGTGTGTTTTGAAATCCTCCAGAAACATGCATTTAATACACACACATATAGACGAGCTTAAATGTCCGTATTCGCAACAAACTATCTTCCTACTAACGCAACAGAAACAAGTGCAGCAATTACTACTTAAAAACGTACCTGCCACAGCACGCAACAAATATTCTTATTATGTTCCAATTTTGCTTTCGAAAAGCATTTTGCTCTGCTGAAAGGTTTTATGCACAGATATTTCTTGAAATTGTAAGTTTAGTACGAGCGTTTTGTATGTACTAAATAACTTGAACTTTTACCCGACGAATTCAGGTAACCGGCAGAAGCGGTTGAACCTGTGAAAAACAAAATGTTAACATTTATTGAGGGGAACATCAGGTTGATTTGGCATAGCTACACATAATTGACGATACAGTAACCCAGTTAGCATTCAAATTGTGATTAGTTTTACGGGGAAACTATATTCTGCAATATTCTCATACAAAATATTAGTGTATNCGAATTCAGGTAACCGGCAGAAGCGGTTGAACCTGTGAAAAACAAAATGTTAACATTTATTGAGGGGAACATCAGGTTGATTTGGCATAGCTACACATAATTGACGATACAGTAACCCAGTTAGCATTCAAATTGTGATTAGTTTTACGGGGAAACTATATTCTGCAATATTCTCATACAAAATATTAGTGTATTAAAATCGTCATTATTAAGTATATAACTACGCAATATAAATTAAGAGATTAATACTGAAGTTTTAATAGATATCAATATACGCTTAAATAATATTTCTGTCGATGTGGTATGCGTATAAGTAATACTTATAATTACCAGCCACGCATCTTGGTTAGCACGCAAGATAAGTGAAATTTTTGTCTTGTTTTTTTTTTTTACAAATCATAGTCAGCACTTAATTAACGAAATGTAAGTAAATTACATCCAAATAACTAGCTTACATCTAGATCAAGGGTTTTGCTCTTTTAGAGCCTGCATCAATAGACATAAACGTGTATGAAAATTAATATATTAAACTTCGTTTAAATTGCAAATAAGGAAAAGAAGGAAAGGGCAAATGAATGTTTTAATGGACCGATAAACATGTATAAATATTTACATTTATTGCTTACCGTAACTAGGCGCCGATGAGACACTATAAGGGTTCATTCGGTTTCCTTGTAAGCTGCCCGCTTTTTGTGGACCACCATTGTAAGATTGTTGGTAATCACCAAAACTTTGGGGAGCGGCTGGTGCAGGAGCAGCTGCACCATTCCAACTATTCACCGCTGGTGCTGCGGCGGGTGCAGCTGCTGGTGGTGGTACGGGTGCGGCAGCAGGTGGAGCTGCGTAACCACTTTGAGGCCATGCGGCTGGTGCTGGATAGGCCGCAGGAGCTCCCCATCCGGGAGCTGCGCCGTTTTGTGGTGGAGCTGCGTAGGCTCCGTAGCCTGCAACGGGTGCAGCTGGAGGTGGCTGTTGATATGCAGCCGGTGGTGCAGCCTGGGGATAACCACCCCATCCGTTGTATGCCGGCGGGCCCATCTGTGGCGGATACCCGTAAGCTGGCTGCTGGGCATACGGGGCAGCAGGTTGTTGATAGCCATTTGCCGGAGGCGCAGCACCCGCGGGTACACCTGCTTGTTGTGCCTGTGTTGCACGTTTCTTAGCCAACTCTTGTTTGTAGACAGATTTTTTTACATCTACTAGAACATATTTAATTGTGTGGTTTTTATGCACTAAAAGAAAGAACAGATACAAAATTTATTATAATTTGAGCAATGTTAAATTAAGAATACAGTTCTTTAATAAGCTATTTTATTTAGGTATAATGATTAAAAAAACTTACAGACTGCTTTGTCCACTGCATCATAGTCGTCAAACTCTACAAAGGCGAAACCGCGTTTGCGCCCGGTTGTTTTGTCTGTTAAAATCTTAACTCCTACAACATTGCCAAATTGTGAGAAATGTTCTGTCAACGTCTGCTCATCATGATTTTCTTTTAAACCACCAACAAAAATTTTCTTCACAGTTGTGCTAGCTTCTGGTTTACCAAGTTCAGGTTTTGGCAACGCACGTTTTGAATCTACTTGCCTGTTGAACGTTAAGAAAAATGTAGTAAGAATGAATAAATATACATATTTTATTTAGATACGACGGAAGTATACAAATTTCCGAGCCCGATTTTCACAATGTGTGCAATAGAGATTTACGCCGTTAGGATTTGCGGCGGTCGACTTCGTTGACCTTAAAGAGAAACCGGAAACTCCGGCGCATCTACCCAGGGACAGTTGCCAAAGCCGAAAGGATATCATGAAGCTACTAATCTTATCATGTCACCCCGGTGGATAAAGGCGTGCTCCACTATAATTCAGATTAGAATTCTATTTAAGGGACATTCCATGTTAAAAAGGAAAACAATATAAATTTTTAAATGCCATAATTATACCTATTTCACTAGATAATCTGTAGAAAGTATTAAAAAAATAAAATAAAGCATAATTTTTGTCTATGTAAATTTTTAATTCATAAATAATTACTTTACACCATTCAAAAACGCCCTATATCAGCATATTTTCAATACATTTTGAAGTGAGATAGGGCGTTTTTGAACCGAATTTTGAGATAGGGTGTTTTTCAATTAAATTCTGAAACCGGGCGTTCTTCCACGCAGCCATCGATTTATGCTGTGTATGGCATCCATGGTTCCGACAACTTAATTATAATTTTACCATTGATGGTGGTGGCCGTTAATTGGTTCTTAAATTTGTTTAAAATGGAATTACTCATGACTCCGGCCAGTTATCGGACTTCTACCACATTGTGGTAGATCTACCACTTTTCGGAGCATCCACCACATCTACCACTCAAGGTCTGATATCTACCACATTTTCTCATTTTTGAGTAGTTATAATCATGATAAAAATATAGTAAGGTAGAACCCATGATTCAATAATGAAAGGTTTTGTAAGAAAAACTTTCTCTCGCTCTAATTTTATCAATGACACTCCCACCCTACTCCTAAAAACAAAAACAGTGATATTTCTTTTCCAAATTTCTTTGCAAGTTTTAAGAACATTTTTAAATTGTTAGTAGTGAAATTTTTACTTTTTAAATTTGAAGAAATGTTTGTTCTGCATTCGCTGGCGCCAACAAGACAAAATGGGTGAGAATCGTTGGACTACAGAAATTCAATGTTAAGAGACGAAATTCCCTTAAATGCCGAAATGTATTTGTCGATATTCGTCGAGACCTCTTGATTCTGCCAAGTCGCTGTAAAGTAAAGCGTTCAATGAGCCAACGAAGGTATTTAGGTATTGTACTCCACGACACAATCCTGGTGTCTCCGAATGAGATTTTGACGCAATATAACATTGCCAAACCGCATCCATAGGCCCAATCGTCACACGACAGCTCGGTTTAGTCAATGGCGCGATGTAATTGCACACTTAAAAGGTGTACGCACGAGGCGAATGTTGGCTGGCGACCAACTTTATTGAAAGCGATTAGCTGAAAGTAGAATGCAAAGTTGAACAATACAAACGCCTTTTTATGGCGAATATTTTAATATTTTTTTATATTTTGATATTTTTAGTCATTCAAATTTTTTTTCGTGCAACCCGGCGGGAGTTGAACGCAAAAGTTGCCTGAAAAATCGCCTCGTGCGAAAGCCCCATTACGCCACTTCTCATTTGACGATGTAGATCACGTTCCCTATCTCAGTCGTTCAGTAGCTGCGTGCTCTGAGTTCGTCCGGCACCAATCGCCAACTGCGGCTGTGCAAGCCAGTGTTGAATATTTTCCCCAGAACATAAAAAGTGCGACATCAAAGAATTCGAAACAATCGAGCCATAACCGCGAAAGAAACGTAAGCTCCAAATTTTTTTATTTGCCGTTTTTTTGTTTAATAAATATTGCATATTTTCCGCAAACAAATAGCTTCTTCATGTCCATCAACTGGCAAACAAATACAACAAAAAAAAAGCTGAAAGTGGACCATCCATTCTCGAGTTATGCGCCATCTGACGTACGCAAGTTTGGTATAAACATAGAAATATTTATTTTTAATAACAATAGGGGGTTATATTCGATGTAAATAAGCTTGTTTAAATTAAATAATTAAATCAAATTCGTTTTTGTTTTAAAATACCACCATTCACTATTATCCACACGTTTTTATAGAATTTAGCTCCCATTTTAGGAAGTGTGATTGAATTCTTCCCCTTTTTCTTCTGCTTCCAAAAACCATCCCTGTGGGTGGGAGTGCCAAATTTTAGAAAAAAGCTACTTACAAAACCTTTAATAATTGAATCATGGGTAGAACCGCACTTTTAAAATTCTTGACGTTTTTTATGCAATTTAATTTTTAAATTTACTCACAAACTCACACACCCATTTTCATTTTCAATCTCAAGCAACAACAATTTCGAAAGATTTCGATTTTTTATTTTCACTTTTATAAATGCTGGCAAACTTCAAAAAAAATCATGGCCGACAAATTGAGAACGGTTCTACCTTGTTATGTTTTTATCGTGGTTATAATTAAGCTCCACATGATTTTCCTTATTTCTTTAATTTTACGAGCAAAAATTGTCCAACACTAAACACTATGTGATAACAAGTAGGGATACGATATCGAAACGTACTCATTTAAAGTATCGCTGTAAAAATATCGGGTTCCATTAATATCGTAATAAAAAGACCCGGTATTCCAAATATCGATAAAAAATTCAAAAAATTAAATCTGAATATTGGTCTAATTTTCTATTAAAGAAATAACGCTTTGCACTTTAATAAGCACATCACTGAAGGCGCGTGACATACAAACCTAAGATAGTAAACATTTCTGCGCTTTAAAGTGCAAAATATATCCATATTGCTTTACAAATAGATTTGCAAGAAATGGTACAGAAGATAAGGCTGAAATTCATGTTTTATTTGCGTTAAAATTTTGTTTAATGTATAACTTTCAATAGAAATTTTAGTAAGGTAGCGTCACGTCAGATACTGCGGCTGATAAAAAAGCTCCTGCTTTACATTACATTTTTACATTTTGGAATTTGCAAAATTAACTTTAAATATTTTAAATATTACTACAAAAAAGTTTTGTACAAGTAGTCTTGGCCCAATTCCCAGAGTTAAGCTTTGACATTTTCATTTTATTTTCTTATATTTTGCCATGCAAATGTATCATTATCCACTTACACTTTGTAATGTACATTTACGATTCGATACGATACAACGGTTCTGGTTCTCGATTCCAAAAAATATCGTTTCAAAACTTTCGAGTAAAAAGTATCGGTGTCGAATGTCAAAGACATCGATATGGTATCATATCGTATCGAAATTCGTGTCCCTAATAACAAGAATAATAGTATACAAGATTTCGCATTCCCCGCGCCGATGACATTTCTCAAGTAAAAGTAAACAAAGCTGAATTTTCTCAATTTCTCAATTTTAAATTATTCGTCGGGAAACGTGATTTTATTGTGTTAAATTGCAAAGTATATGATTCATAAAAAAAAACTAATAAAGAAAATGTAAGAAATCGGCGATTTTTGTGAAAGCATTAGCACAGCTAAAGTCTTTAGGGCGTTGTTTACTTTTACTTGAGGATTGTCAGACTCGGCAAAACCCAAGTTAAAAGTTTTTTCTAAAGACTCGAATTAAAAAGTTTTGCAGTTTAGGTGAAACCTTGCAGATTTTCTTTTTAATCCTTGTAAAAAGTTTGGTCCGAAACCTGGTATCTACCACATGTTTTCTAAATCTACCACATTTTTTTCCAGAATCTACCACACCGAATTTTTATTAAGTCCGATCACTGATTCCGGCTTGAATAAAAAAGGTGAATGCCTGGTGCAGATACATACGCGAATGTAGGGTTATGAGCTACATGGTTTTCTATGTTCTCCACACATAATATTTAAATTTAAAAAATAAAGTTATGCTATTATAAAATGTTATGTAATTTATGACGCGATGAATCACATTTTTTAATAAACTTTCGCTTTTCGTGTTCCATTCTAAAATAAAGACAAACGGTAAAAAATTTTTGTTCGTTTCTTAAAATGCAAAAAAATACACATTCTCTGCCCCTTGAAGCTTTGTCAGGTGAGAAGGTTGTCCTGAAAATAAGAGGTTTGCTAGAACGACAAATTATGAAATGTGTGAGATAGACAAGGAGAAGGCAAAAACCTTTTACACGGTTGTGTATCATCAAATACATTTCGCAGCGATGAAAAGAAATTACATAAGTCGTCAGCAGCGTTGCCATTTCGATATAATTGTACAATTTTTGATACTTTTTTTCTAAATTTTAAGATTTGATACTTTTTGTTCACAAGTGCTCCATTTTGCCACCTTAGGTTTGCAGAAATTATTTTTTGAAAACTATAAATAACATCATCATAGTTTAAAAGGCAAATATTTTTTTTCTTAGATTCTTATAAGTTTGATCTGGTGACTTATAAAGGAAATACAACCGAAATTTCTTTGCACACGTCGCTGTTATGGGGCCCCTGAACCGCACAAAAGTATTGCGTAATTTCGGGCTTGCTTCGATGTATGAAGTTGTTTTTTTTTTGATATTTTGCTCAGGCTTGTGTTTTTGTAAAATAATTTGTGTTGCGTGATTTTGGTGTCCAGATCGTGCAGTAAAACATGGTTAAGAGGGTAGAAAAAAACATATTTTTTATATTCTTTTGTTTTTGCGTTTTAACAGGTCTCCAAACCGGTTTTGAACCGAACTGGTTTTTAAACCGAACCGGGGCCTTTTTCGATCTTTGAACCGAACCGTTTTTTTTTTGTTTTGAAGTGCTAAAACGCAACCGAAAACCACTCCATAAAATGATTCGGTTCGGTTCAAAATGAAAATCCACTGTAGCATTTTTCAAGTTTTGTAATACGTACTTTTGTCTGAAAATACATCTCTTATGGTAAAACTGCAAACATTTTTTTGTCTCATAGCAACTCCGTGAGTTGTGATTTCACCAGCAAAAAAAAAAAATCAAGTCATATTTAAGATAATTAAGCTATAAAACTGCATACTCGGATTGTTTAGTTGCGATTAAACAAAATTGATGCTTTGATACCATTTTGTTGAAATCTGTAGATTTTTTCTGCTTTTCGTACAAACATT